GAAAGAAAGAAAGAAAGAAAGAAAGCATACCAGTGTGGCAATTCACCTTTCAAATAGGTATCAGAGGGTCTCTGCATGGTTTAACAATTTAAAAAATGCATTTTTTAAAACCAAAAGCAGAATTCCAGACACTTTTGGTTTTGTGAAGTCGAAGGCTTTCATGGTCGGCATCCATCGTTTTTTGTGGGTTTTTCGGGCTGTGTGGCCATGTTCTAGAAGAGTTTCTTTCTGACATTTCGCCAGCATCTGTGGCTGGCATCTTCTCTGAAACTCTTCTAGAACATGGCCACACAGCCCGAAAAACCCACAAAAAAATTTTGGTTTTGTTTTTTCCACATTTTTTATTCAACCCACAGCAGAGATCTTGCATTAAGCCAGCGGAGCCTAATATTTCAGCCATGCAATTCCATGTCCTGCCTCCAGCGCAGCCCCTGCCAAGCTTTGCTGCAATTCAGATGAAGAAGAAAGCACTGGTCTCAGCTTGGAGGGGAAGGAAAGCAGGGCACCTTGACAGACAGACAGAGAGCACCCTCCTTTTCCTTCCCCTCAGAGCCCAGACCAGCGCTTGCCCCTCTTCTCTCTCCTGCCATGCTTTCTCTTGATGGTTTAAGGCAGAGCAGAAATGTCTAGAGAAGAGCTGCCTGTGACCTGTTCAAATAAGAGGCACACAAGCGCATATGCCACAGTTGTGTATACATACCCATGTCACCAACAAGATCCCGCTCCATCTGGCCTTTGGAGAAGCCAAGGGGCAAAATATTGGCCTTTGGACCCACCACAGTTGCCTGCCCATGATCTGTAGGATTTTAACCAGTTGGATGCTTATTTTAATTCTTTTATTGTTTTCACTGATGCACATTTTTAATTTTTTTAAAAATTGTATTCATTTTCATTTGAATTTTATTATCCCCTGGACAGCCATTTGGGGCCAGAAAGGTGGGATATAAAATACATAGAGTTCCCAAAGGACCATGAAGGCTGGATCCAAGGATGTTGTTTCTCCCACACCAGTTGCCAGATGCATTTGGCTCATGGAGAAAAAGTCTGTGTGTGCCCAGCTGCATCAGCCAAAAATGCACACACACCCCACCGGTGCTGGCTAACTGAGCCTTGCCATCTTTTCCATCCGGTTCCTGTCTCCAAATGAAGTGTGCCGAGCTCTGGGGTTGCCAAACTCCAATTTGCGCTTGTGATGGATGATTCAGACAACTGGCTGCCCACACACAGAACAACAACCGGGAAAGATCCAGACAGACAACGGAGCCCTGGGCGATCGCTGCTGTAGTGGGTGGGATCCGCCTGCATGCCATGTGTTTCTTCCATGTTGGCTCTCCCTTCTCCTCTGCAGCAGGCCCTCCATGATAAGAATCACAGCGTTGGAAGAGACTACACCCAGTCCACCCCCTTCTGCCATGCATAGAATCATAGAGCTGGAAGAGACCCCAAGAAGGGCCATCCAGTCCAACCCCCTTCTGCCATGCAGGAACTCTCAATCAAAGCTTCCTTGACAGATGACCATCCAGCCTCTGTTTAAAGCTCTCCAAAGAAAGAGACTTTGGGGGGTTGCAGACTGCCAGAAATAGTGCAAATTCAGTCCACTTTTAGGGTTAGGGTTAGGGAATCATGGGAACTGTAGTTTATTGTGGCACTAGAGCTCTCTGACAGAGAAGGCTCAATGTCTCAGAAAAAAAAACAATTCCCATGATTCCCTAGCTCTAACCCTAACCCTAAAAGTGGACTGAATTTGCACTATTTCTGACAGTCTGCAACCCCCCTTCATCACCCTCCGAAGGAATGTGTTCTACTGTCAAACAGCTCTTACTGTCAGAAAGTTCCTCCTAATATTGAAGTGGAATCTCTTTTCCTGTAGCTTGACTCCATTGAGACTCCTTGTCCTTGTCTCTGGAGCAGCAGAAAACAAGCTTCCTCCCTTCTCAATATGGCATCCCTTCAAATATTTAAAGAGGGCTATCATATCACCTCTTAACCTTCTCTTCTGCAGGCTGAACATACTGATCTCCTTAAGGGCCTTTGCAGACTGCCAGAAATAGTGCAAATTGAGTCCACTTTTTGGGTTAGGGAATCATGGGAAGTGTATTTTATTGTGGCACCAGAGCATAATGTCTCAGGAAAAGAGGCTCAGAAGAAGGCTCAGTGCCTCAGGGGGAAAAAAAGTTCCCATGATTCCCTAGCACTAACCCTAACCCTTAAAGTGGACTCAATTTGCACTATTTCTGGCAGTCTGCAAAGGCCCTAAGTCTCTCCTCACATGGCTTTATGGTTCCCAGACCCTTCACCATTTCCAGACCCTTCACCATTTTGGTCTCCTTCCTCCAGCTTCTCAACCTCCTCTTTGAATTGTGGAGCCCAAAACTGGATGCAGAATTATTCCAGGTGAGGCCTGACCAAAGCCGAATAGAGTAGCACTATGACTTCCCTTGATCTAGATGCTATTCTTCTATGGATGCAGCCTTTAGCTGAGAAGATGCTAACTGGACCAAACTCCTCATCCATTCTAACATCATCCTGTTAATTATGGGCCTTTCAGCCACATCTGAAGGATTCTGTTGGCTTCGTTATTTTTATTTGCTTAGATCTTAAAATCCGGACTTCCTCCTCCACTCTTGCCATTTCCTAAGTCCCACCTGGCTCCGTTTTGTTCATTGCTCCTATGCATTGGCCCTACACATTGCCCCATAGGACAGGTGGAATTCATCTATTGTTCCTAACCATGAGGTTCAGGGCTTTACTCCATAAAGGAATGAAGAATGAAGACCTTGCTGGAGAGATGGAAGCTGGGATGCCCTGGAGAGGAGTCAGAAGTAAAATAAAAGGAAAGGAGTTGTAGCAGCATTGTTGCAGAATAGGGATGTACAGGGAAAAGGGGAATTTTAAAGCTTGTCAGCTGTTTGGAGCACTGATTTTGCATAGTTTTTTATTTTTGTTTTGGCTTGGTGGAATTGTTGGAGCAGGTGCAGAATACAGTTTCGGATCAATATAGTATATATCTAGAAATGCATTCAATCCTAGGACCATATATCAGGAAAGCATCTACTTATTGTAATGCAGAATAAGAATAAGAAGCTTTATTTCTTACCCGCCTTGCCCCAAGGCTCGAGGCAGGGTACAACATAAATTAAAACGCATAAAACCATTTAAACACATAAAGTTAAAATACATAAACACAAGACGCATTAAAACCATCCAGCATAAAATTAAAAATATACCAACTTAAAATGCATAGTTTGCATCAGCTGGATAGACCTGCCAAAAGAGATCGGTCTTTAAATACTATTTTAAATTTTTACTGCATTGTGACTGTTATCACAACACTGAAACACAATAGCTGTTGTGTGCCCTCAAGTTGTTTCTGACTTAAGGTGAACCTATTATGGGGTCTTCTGGGGCTGAGAGTGTGTGACTTGCCCAGGGTCACTCAGTTGGGGGACTGAACCCTGGTCTCCAGAACCGTAGTCCAATGCTCAAACCACTACACTCCAGCAGCGATTCTGAAGCCATCTGCAACAATAGCCAGTAGCACGCAGTTGGCTTCCCCCTTAATTTCAAGGTAGTGCTCTCGCCTTGAGATTCTTTCTCATGCTTTGAGGCTTGGAGAACAGGGAACAGGCCCTGAGATCTGGGAACTCTATTCAGAGGTGCTTTAGATGTAAATTTCTACAGTGCAAAGGGTTGGACTGGATGGTCCTTCCATCTCTATAATGATGTGGTTCTATAAGGACCCAGTGTCGCATAGTGGCTTGAGTGCTGGACTGTCTGGAGATCCTGGGTTCGATTCCCCACTCAGCCATGAAACCCACCTGGGCAAGTCACATGCTCTCAGCCTCAGGGGAAGGCAATGGCAAACTGCCTCTGAACACAACTTGGCAAGAAAACCCCATGATAGGTTCACCTTAGGGTTGCCATTAGTTGGAAACAACTTGAAGGTACAGGATACACACACATATACAACTCCATAATTGCAGCTTTTATGTGTGAAAGAGAACGAGAGAGTGTGACACAGTAATTTACACAGGGGCAGATTTAGAATGGCTTGAGTCCTGGGGTAAAGGTATGGGGAGGGCACAAAATGAGAGCGTTCATGTTGTGTTCCTTCAAGTTCTTTCCAACTTATGGCGACCCTAAGGCAAAACTATCATGGAGTTTTCTTGGCAAGATTTACTCAGGGGAGGTTTGCCATCGCCTTCCCTTGAGGCTGAGAGATTGTGACTTTCCCAAG